CCTGAACTCTACACCCTAAGCCCTAAACCCTAAACCCTGAACCGTAAACCCTAAACCCTGAACCCTAAACCCTAAACCCTGAACTCTGAACCCTAAACCCTAAACCCTAAAAGAGCCCTTACAGGATCCTTATAGTTAGACACAGGAAGGGGAACCCTGAAATATTCCTTGGAGATACCTTCAGGAAAGCCTTCCGGGTGCTCAAAGGGGACCTTGAAGGGAGTTGTAAGGGTCCGTTACCGGGACATAGAAAGCATAAGGACGCTTTAAGGGGTCGTTGATGGGCCCGTCACGGATTCTATCAGGGCTTTTTCAAGAGGTTCAGGGTTCTTTTAAGGGCCAGGGCTTTTGGGTTCAGGGTCTAAGCTTCGGGGCCTGGGGTTTAGGGTTCAGGGTATCTTGGTTCAGGGCTCGAGGGCTTTTTTTTAAGGTTTTGGTTTCTGGTCTAGCGATTTAGACCCTAAGCCCTCAATCCTCAACCTTCACCCTGCAACCCTTAACCCCTAAACCCTACCTGGAGGTTCGTGTTTAGTTATAAGCAGGGTTGTAAGTCCCCTATTTTGGGTTGTAAGTATAGTTATCCTACTTATAACTACCCATGAACCTCCAAGTCGAGTTCTGTGTGCAGGCCTGGCCTGCTACAATGTCGGCTCTCGATCTTTGTTTGAGATCTGAATGGCCTCCTACTGGATGTTGGTCAGTCAAGATCAACCGCGGGCAGACTTCAGGCAACTCGGCCCGCATCGCCATCAACATGGCAACTTTCTGCCTGCTGTTCCTTGGCTGGGCCAGGGCCACCAACGTGGCTGACCCGTGGGTGGCTTTCCACAACCTAGGAGACGATCTGCGGAAGCATTGGACCAAATGGGCGGATCTGCACATGTTCCTGAAGGACTGGGAGAGGGTCAAGCTTATTCATCCTGCCAAGGGCATGTGCTCGCTTGCAAGATCTGAATACCTGAGGTACCTCTTTACTGCACATGGGCGGAGTGGCTACCCCGTTAGAGCAGTGGGCGCCACTCTGAAGAGCAGCCCGTGGTCGGGACGACTGTTCTTTCCAAGCTCAGTGGTATCGACCTTGTCACTATGCAGCTCACGGCACAAAACTGGCACATTCTCGCGCTGCACATGCAGCTGCATGGAAGGCAAGCTAGGCAAACTTTGCCTCTGGGGAATCGTTACTGCGCAAAAATTGGCGGAGATTCGGGCCACTGCCTGGAACGGGCACGTTAGCCCATATGCAGTCAGTCCCTTTGGCAGGTAGGTACAGAGAGGAAGGTGCTGGGTTTCTATGAAAGGCGCCTGGTGTAAACCAGCCATCGTGAAGTTACCATCAAAGCCTATAGACCCAAAGCCCTCAGCCTTAAGCCCCAAATCCTAAACCTTCTAAACCTCAACAATAAGCCTCAAAACCCAGCGCCCCTAGTTATTCCTGCGCCCTCAGCCCTAAACCCTACACCCTACACCCTCAAGCCTAAACCCGAAGCCCTACACCCTAAACTCCTGAACCCTAAACCCTGCACCCTACACCCTAAACCCCTAAACCCTAAATCTCTTAATTAAAACTAGAAGACATGTGGCCCGAAAGCATCATTTGCGAAGAGTTTAG